CCACAGGTCCCATCCGTGCTTACACCGTGCCGAGAGACGTATCACGAACGAAACAGAGAGTTAGCAATTCGTGTAGCCTAAGAATTATTCCACTGCCTAGATAACGCATCCACTCCTCGGTATATATTATATGCAAAAATTTAAGGTGACAGCAAAACATCACTTACCACACCAATCAGGGCCTGTACCGCAATATCCAGATACGCTGCAGCAATCGCCAAATTTCGAGCCAGAACATGTCTTATTACCTGGGAATAGTGGGCCACAAGTTCCGTCAAAACTTATGTTTCCATCATCTTTCTCACAGGCGCCAGCCAAGCAATTTCCGACACCTAGTCATCATTAGAGAGCGAGAATGCAGAGCTGTAAATGGATAGTTACCAGCTAATTACTTACCGCACCAGTCAGATCCAGTCCCACAATACCCACTGGTGCTGCAACAGTCACCAAAACTGGATCCTGTGCATGAGACATTTAAAGAGCATTTCCCATCTACGCTAATGGCCATAGTAGCATTGTCAGGACGTCCTGTTTCCTTTGGTGGGACAGGTTTTGTGGGGGTTGTGTTCCCCGGGGTGGGATCATCCGCAGTAGGAGTTGGTTCAGGGGTAGCAAAGTCGTCCTGAGCACTATCGCTCGGGAAAGTGGGAGCCGTACTACTGGGAGCAGGGAGTTCTGGCACCGGCTTAGTTGGCGAGGAATCAACGGGTGTAGAAGGAGCTGGGTTATTGGGCATAGTGTCCGTCGGAGTGACGTCTTCTGGATCTAAGTCATCGAGATCACAAGGCCCACAGCGATTGTTCGATTTACACTGAAAATAATGGCAGATTAATTAAAGGTAGTGAGAGTTTGGAGATATTGAGCCTTACGCATCTAGCATATATATGTTAGTCGTTTGGACAGCTTTTTTTGTAACGAGTAAAGTAAACTCACGAGCCAAACTCTGAGCCCTTACATACGGTCCCATATCCTTCTCCACAATTTCCATCTGTGGAAATTGGCTCTTTTTCAATCGGAGATATGCAGATCGCATGATCTGCCCACAAGTTGGAGCAAGTCCGATCCAGCTAAATTTTGAGCACTGATTAGCAACGCTGAGGTATGCGAACCATAAACTGTTGATTAAATCTACATTGAGGACTTAGTTGACACTCACCTCCACATTAAAGCGCTTGATTTCATAGATTGAGATCCCCCTGGAACTTATGAATAAAAATCTTCACATATGGTTAACGCTAATCACACTTACAACTTGGCCGCAATCCTTCCGCACTATAATTTTATGATTAGCAAGCATTAATTTGACAATGCTATGAGGTATATAACTAACAGTATCACCTTCAACTACGTCGTAATATTGGCCACAGTTTTCAATAGCCCCTGGGTGTGTTGGAAGTGCTGGGGTAGCTAGTGGGAACATTAGTTTTAAAATCTGTGATAAGAACTTGGATTAGAAACTTACAAGCTCCATCATAGACCCCATCTGCTCTTTTTGCAACAGGCGAAGGTGATTCACCTACTTCGGCAGCCGTAGGCTCCGTGCTGGGCGAATCCGAACAGACTGCGTTAATTTTATTGAACTCGTCAACCAGGTACTCTGCAAATTTGCCGGGAGATAGGATAGGCGAAAGAAGCCTTTGTCTCCACATCTTCATGAAACATTCACTACAAAACTACAATATAAAGTCAGATCCTCCAGGAGCCCAGTTGATGCAGAACATTCCGTCACTTACCAAATCCTTGCTATACATATTAGTCACAGATATCTCATCTGGATCAGCGGCAGCGTCTGCTTCTATGAGGACCTGGTCATCGCACTGGGATGGAGGATCATCGCCATAACATAGATCCAAGAACCATCTTAATATTGTCAGAGTTGCATACAGACTAAAGAATTCAGCACGAGGGCATACTTAGAATTTCCATCGCTTTCCCAACCCTGAGATTCCAGAAAACACCAATTATTAAAGCTGTGCAGTGTTAGAATTGACTGACAAACTTAAAACATAAACAGTCATACCTATCTTGCAAGCAAGCCATATCAAAGCCCGCAATGTACTTCAAGGGGATTGTATAAGGCTCAATGAGATGGTCGTCAATATTGATTCGGTCTCCTGCACATTGAGCTTCCACGTCGGAGAGCCATGTTGAAAGAGTCTCCGAGCATTCCGCTGTGCACAACGCCGTTACATTATCCCTAAACCAGACTATCAAGTTATCATCCATCAGTAAAGGTATTTCGACCATGGATATGAGAAGGAAGAGACATATTGGAAGGGCGAATACAATCATCATCGGCACCATTGGCAACTCGGGCGATATTGATAGCATCACAATCGATGGTTTGGTTCCTTTGCAATTATTAGCAACATGTTCAATAAACGGTGATTTAACTGGTCAAATCATACAGAGCTGCTAAACAACCATCTGATATCCCAATGGAGGTACCAATAGCAGTATCCTCATATTTAGCGTATAAGTTGAATTCAGTTGTTGCCAGTGGAACGAACACCAAGCTAAATAACAGCAATACAAACGACTTCATGTCTGTTGCAAAGACAGCACAAAGGAAGGGTTCGCCGTAAGGAAAATTGATATGCTGCTAGTAGTTTTAAAAGGAGGGATAAAATGAGGATGTAACAATTCAGTCAATTAACGGAACAGCCGTTGCTATTATATATTTACCCGTTGAAAATGAACTAGTCCGTAGGATAGAACGAAGGGGAAAAGGAAAACGAAAACAAGTAGAAATTAAAACAGGGGAAAATAAACAATACAGAGAATACTCTGCATGTTGTATAATGGAATGAGCAGCCCAGAAGCGTGGCCGAGAGGAAGCGGCAATCCAGTCCTGCAGCTCCTGAGATAGTAGGCCCATTGCGCATGGCCGTACGGAGCATCTTGTTGCGAAGATAAATATCTGAGGACTCATTTCTCTTTTGATATGAGTTTGTACAACTGCATGTCGAGCTTGTTAATGTCTTAAACTGAAAGGTGTGATCAGGAGTTATGCGTACAGAACATGTATATATCGACCACACCTCAGTTGCAAAATTTCAAGAGCTAACATTCAGATACAGGACAAACAGCCGCTTATACCACCCGACGAACCTCCCGAAGCAATGGAGGTGACAGAAGGAGGTTCCATGTGTTAAAAGGAGAGGAAGGGTTTACCAGGCTTGGATGGTTGGCTGGGTATCTGCATCACGCAAAAATATATTTCCGCCAACTTCTCAACTTCAATTTTGCACGTTTTCGAGTTGAAAATGAAACTTCTATCTGTTATTTCCTTTCGTTACACATAACTATCTGCTTTATCTCTTCTAGGTATCTAACTAGAAACTTAATGTCATCGCAGCTCTATACTGGTCGACCCATCACCATCATAAATTCATTACATATCCCACCCTTATTTCAGAGTATATATATGTAGCAATGAGTCTCTCAGGGGGGAAATGCCGTTGCTCTAACCCCTCAAATTCGTACGGATGGTCTCAATATCTTCACTGGTAAAACCCAACTTGTCCCGAAGATAACCCTCTGCACCATTCTCAAATCCCTCTTCCACGAATCCTAGAAACTGCACCATCGTCTCATACATTATCCCCCCAGCGACTAGAATGCCCCGAGTCGTCGACTCATCAAGATCTTTCTTACCAAGTAGCGAACCATACAGAGCTTCCCTTACAGGCTCGAAACCCACTCGGGTTAGCACGTAATCGTCCACGATTATATCCGGCGAATAGTCGGCAATACGAAGGATGAGGGCAGCTAAGACTCCTGTCCTATCCTTGCCGGCTGCACGATTGGAGAACAGGTATAGCGAATGTCAAAGGCTCACAAACCAATCTCCCAAAGAAAACTCAGGGGAAAGAGAAATTTCTTTACCTGTACAATGGAAAAAGAAGGGCTGCTTCGGGAAGTCCCGTATATGCTCGAAAACAGCTCGGTAGATAGGCACATGAGTGACCAAAATATTTTGATACATCTTAAGCATGGTTGCTGCAGGGTCGCCCACAGCATAATCAGCCCAATTAAAACGCACTGTGTCCTGCGCTGTTGGCAGCCAGTGAATTTGCACACCCTCGATTTCGGGCGATGGGAACCTGTCCCGTTCTGCCGCAGTTCTCAAATCAAAGACCTTTTTCACCCCCAAGCCAGTTGTAAGTTTGACCTTGCCTTCTTCCTCGAGAAAAGCGAGCATTCCAGAGCGGAAGATGTAATTCTGCTTCAGGGATGTTAGCGTGGCATGGGGATAGCTAAGATCCCTAAAGTTAAAAAGACCAGGAACAGAAATGAATGGAGGACTGGCAAGAATATGAGAGACGACATCGGCCGATATGGCGTTCAGAACATCGGTTTCGACGACATCGCGGAGGACGTAGGTTGGAACCTGGACGCTGGAACCCATGTTGAACTCGCTTATCGTATCTGTTTCCGATACGTTCGCAATTACGGTCTTTCTTTCAACCCCTTCATAAATCAGCCAAATGCGGGAATTATGTGTGCTTTGAGAAACCAGGACATTTAGTCCTTCAGCCTTAAAGTGAACAACCGCCACGTCGCCCCATAAAGTTATTGTCGAAGCCCCCTCATCATGATCCTGGCCTGCACGCTAACAGGCAACGGCGGATGAACTGATGTCTGGCCAATCACACGCCGACTCCTTGGTCTGGTGAGATGCGTAAAAAGGCCAAGCGCGCACTTTTTCCAGCGGAGTATTCAGCGTCCTTGGTGGACCAACTCTGCAACCAAAATGAAACAACAGGAAGAATTCTCTTTGAAATCAAGTGGTTTTATTTGCTTCCTCATCTGATATACCGTACCTTTCAAAGTAAAGTACGTAGAATATCTAGTGAAAATGTCAACCTGTATCATGATACTGAGAAATGTAACTCCTCTTTCTCTTTCGTATTTCTCAAGCATTTCATCGGCGAATCATAAACAACCAAAAGAGAAGAAGAAGAAGGGGGTGGGATTTGTTGCATGTTAAGGACAAACCATGTACATGAGAAATATCGTATAAGGCAGGAGAGAATCGAAAAGAGGAAAGTTAACATAAAAGACAGTAAGGGAGACTATTCTCGAAGATTCAATCGGGGTAACTAACAAAGGAAAATCAATCGAAAGAAAAAAATAACGTAAAAGAAAATAAAAATAGGATGAGGGAAACAAGAGGAAGAATGTTAATATATATAACGTTGAGAAGTGAAATAGGTTAGGTTAGTTAATCAACCAACTCCTGAAACTTTCAAGAGGGGGCGAGTTCGTCATCATCGCCCAACATACCAAGTATACATGATTGGTGCGGGACATATTAATTGTGTGTGAATAAAAAGTCGAAGTAACACAGAAAGGGTGAATCGGCAGTTGGACAAAGGCATAAAAATGTAACTCCAACAAACCAACTTCGAATGGACCGCCAGACCTGCTTGCAAGAACCAACCATACAAATTGGGAGAAGGTAAATAAGATAACATTAGGAAAGAAATAGGCTGCAAGGAACGGAAACGGTCGTGTTATACACGCCATGGTCGGATGTCAGGAAGACCGCCTATCCTAACGATTAAATTTCCAGCTGCTGGAAATAGGACGAAAGAGAGGGAGGAGGGATAATAGGCGGTACAGTTAGTTAGTCATTTATCCCCTCTCTGCCAGCCGTTTAAATACGCCATGATCCCCACACCTAAAAGGACTACACCGAGCATCGAAGCGTACGGCGCACTGTGGTCCAGCATGTTTTTATGACGCTGTTTCACATACGCTCCATATACCTCCTTGCTTGCTTGATCGAGTTGGTGAGATGTTAAGCTAGTGTTTTGTGGACCTTTGCTGAGCCAGCCTCTCGTTCAAGATATCATCCAGAGTATCACATTCAGTGTGAGAATCATCCAAACCGATTTTGATGGCTTCCGATGATGAACTAGCGGAGGTTTCAGTTTGGGTCCTTCGAATCTGTTCGATCATTTCACCAAGGGATTTGCGGCTCTCAAAAGCCTCGTTTTCAGCTTTCTCCGCAGACTGTTTATACTTGGCGACTTGTTTCCTCATTTCGTCCATTTCAGCAATCATGCTATCGAGGCGCTGTTGGAGCTGCTGAGAAATTGCATCAGACGACGTCTTGCTCTGCTGAGGCAGGATCGAATCAGAAGATAGGTTTGACTCTTCCGGTTCTGAAGGTTCAACAAGAGATATCTCTTCAACTACTACAGTTGTGCCGTTCTCTGATGTAGAGTGCGGTTCACAGACTGCCACTACTTCCGAATCTGCTTTCTGTTCAGAGACACTTCCCTCAAGGTTTCGTGCTCGTTCCTCAGCCTGTTCTCTGGCTGCACGCTCCGTCAAGAGTAGATTTTCTAGCTCTTTAACTCGAGCACCCTGTGCATCAAGGTCTTTCTTAGCTGACGCCAACGCTTCTATAAGTGATAGTATCTGGCTTGATTCCCGATTTGCTGACGAATGAATGGGAGCCTTGGGTTTCTCCGTGTCAGATCGTTTCAAACTCGGTTGTGACATAGAATCCGAGTTGGTATGAGGCGGAGCATCAGGCTTCTCTGGTAAGGGTTGTTGTGGTGGGGGGGCTGGTGGGTCTGAAAATCTGGATATCTGATCCACTTTTGGCATCTTGGGGCGTCCGTTCACTAAACGCCCACCGCCATGACTCTCGGTGGGAGAATGTTTTGCCCGTTCTTTTTCTAAGATATCATGGGGAGACCAAATGACTTAGAAAGTTGTTGGTTTGGTTGAGATCGTGAGCCCTGTTGTTTTGCTTGTTTCATCTCAGACTGGGGGGAGCAAATGCATGTCAGCACCATTCAAATTCCGCAAGGGGCGCATCTAATACATACCGATAGCCGTTTCACCACCTGCTCGATAGAGATGGGGGAGAGCCAGTAGTTCATTTGTCGCTGTTGGTGTAAAATGCCCACATGATTTCCAGCCGCGCTTTGGTTGCTGCGATTACTACCAACAGAAGCAGCGCTCCCAGGTCTGCCACGCATGTGCGAAAGAGGTAGGCTGAGATGTGAAGGAAGAAGCCCACCGCCAGCAGTCGGGTCAATGTCGCCAAAGCTCAAATCCAAGATGTTCATATTCGGGCCATAAATTCCAGCATGCTCTACTTTCGCCGAAACTTTATGGTGGACAATAGATTTCTGGTCTTCACTCACAATATCAATCCCAAGCTCAAGCGTGTCATGTTCTCGAAGTTCGTGTGGTTCGGAATCGCGATTCTCCGGAGATAAACGTTGCCCATTGACGAACGTTCCATTGGATGATTTCACATCTCTTATCCAAATTTTCCCCGCCCGGTCAGCCCAAACTTCTGCATGCTGTCGTGAGAGCACTTTTGAATCAAAATAACCATTCACCGGCGTGGGAACCGTTTTCGCGTTAGTTTGTCTTCCAACACGGAGTACTTCAGGGAAATAGGGAACCGTTATCTGCTTTCTTTCAAATGTCCCATTTACTGGCAATAACGTCAGGATCGCCGGAGGGTCACTGGGTAAGGCCCCATTGGTGAGTCGGCTGCCATTTTGTTGCTGGTTTTGGATCGCATGTTGAGACGGGGCAACTGGGGTCGGTTGATGAAGAGCAGACATAGCGGATGACGCAGAGGTCCCAGACGGTGTTATGGACACAGGTTGAGATCTTGCATTCGTCACCCCGGACACTGGTTCAGCCTTCGAGTTAGACCAACTATATTTGTATGGCTTTTTCTTGGATGCCGCGGATCCCGACTCGTTGGATGCGTGGTTAGCATTACTGTGTTGCGAATTCGCGATTATAGTAGATGTTGAAGACGAGTTTGAATTCAGTGACGATGAAGAGTTTGCTCGTTGGACACTTTTCCTAGGCATAAACATTCGTAGTCCTTCGTCTGAGTTCGAAGGGGTAAGCGTTCCTTGTCCACCATCAACGGCAGGATGCCACCCCAAACGAGGCCCAGATTGCACACTTGGTGGAGACGCCACAGCAGTCATGGATAAGGATAAGGCAGCGGATCCGGATGCAGCAATCCTCGTTCAAATGGGTCAATCGCAGCAGACTGACTAAACTGCTCCTGATCAGAAGAATCTGTGTCGACTACGCGAGACACACAGGCGGCTCGAAAACACGTAGAGTGTTCCAACCAGCATAGGGAACCCTTCGGCAATGCGCGGATATGGGATATGAATAGGGGAGTGTGTGTGTGTGTGTGTTTCGCTTGAGGACCGTAAACCTTGAAGGATGGATAGATAGATGTAGGATCGTCGTAAGCTCGTGCTCAAATTTTTTGTTTTTTTAAAAAAGTCGGCCCTGAACTTAAAAGGAACAGATATAGCATCAAGGGAAGGGCTAAAAGACAATTGCTAGGTCATGGAAAATTGAACATGTCAAACACTGCACTCACAAGCCTAGCAAATTGCGATAGGGCCTAGGTCGTGAAAGGTCTGGGCAGGCGACTGGTCTCGCGAGATGTTCCAAGATGGGGCTCGGCGGCAACAGCATCCACAACAGCAGCAAACAGAGAGGAAGATGGGGTCAAGAGATTGATAACTCTATGGTAACCAAAGAAGCTCGCAAGAAACTATCACAGCACCGGGTCCAAGGGAGCTGGAACGCAATGTTGGCCAGTGGGGAGATGGACAGTAGAAGAATCATCCCAAGAAAGGGTCAAGTGTATGATATGTCACGTGAAAGCTGGGCCGATAAGCGAAACTAGCCTAAAAGAGGCTAGTCTCTCCTGAACTGGTAGCCTTTTTGCCGCTTAGTCAGATTTCATGGCCCGTAAACTTTGGGGAAGCTCAGGGCAAAACAAAACCGAAACGGCTATTTGAAACTTCTGTTCAAGATCCTCCACCTCCCTTGCGTGCGCTCTGCGGAAAATTTCCCAATTTGTTCAAAAGAAAGTCGTATTTTGTCGTCCGACAATAATGCCGCCAGTGGTGTCTGCAAGTGGTGGGGGTGGCATGCATGGTCCCTCGACCTTTGACAAGTGTCAGTCTCCCACTGCTCCATCCAAGTTAACCATTGAGATCTAGAATTTTGCTGACTGATATATCTCAATAGTTAAAATGGGGGCAATGATGGGCGGATGTATGTTCCTTCTTCTGTTCTGCGACTTCTCCAGAATTTTTGGTGTTGCATTGCTTTGCGAGCCTTCCATATTAACGGCTTACAGCGGTTGGTCTCATTATGGGGTTCATCATGGGTGAGAATCACGGATTACCGCACAAAATAGAAGAAATTAGGTGTGATTGACAACTCTGTCAGGAACTGTTGCGATATTTCAGTATGGTGCCGGACCGAACGGCGTGATGCGCACCCTGGGCAAATATATGATCGGTTCGGGCGCAACTTTCGGGTATTTCAATTTTTCTTATTCGTACCCGCTGATATCTCGACCCTTTCCAAGGAGGATTTTTTTTCTGATGAGGCACGTCTAACAAAATTTAGATTTTTTATGTCGATTGGAAGCGTTATCCGAACAGAAGGACACCCCAACTCCTACCAAGTGTGGGCTAGAGCTCGAGGAGCTCCCATGATGATTCCCCGCCAGTACCACCCCCGCCCACGACACGATTAGATGTGAACATGCATATATGTACAATAGGATAAGGAAGGCATATTCGGGGCTAGGCATATTATACAACATGTTATATTTATTTATTTAATGGGAGCAGGAACGGCACCCGTGTATCTAACTTCGACGATTCTTCCCCTGGCATGGGACCGAAGAAACATTTCATCTCAACACTCCTAGGATATGAGGTTATATTTTGACTATGGCGTTTCGCACGATGGAAAAAAAATGAAACAACCCTTTTGTACAAGTAGTCGAGATCATTATCTTCACAACATTGTACGGTTTCGGAACTTCCGGTGGCGGTCGGCCCAACAAGTGCCGGTGATATCTTGATGGGCTAGCCAAAAAATCACGACCCTTAGAAATTATTTTGAATGGCTCGCCTCGATCTGCTCCTATGTCGGGTTCGGAAGAAATTGATCGTCAACGGACATTAGAACCGCGGAATGAAGGGTTGCGTGCAAGTTGAACATTGTAAATTGCCCAAGAACAGGCGAAATGTAATAGACTCGCACGGCATTTATGTCTGCAGAGTATACACTGACTGGGCCAATGAATCGTGTATGAAGCCTGTATGCGAAAGTGGAACACAGGTATCAATATTCTCCCTGATTTCAGTGCCCAACCAACCATATGTAAACATGGTTTCTGTCCGTTTGATCTTTCCGAGTCCCTGGACTCGAAAGAAGGGGGAAAGTAGGCCAGCAATACCTACCGCAAGAAGTAGCCCGCGATATCGCAAGTCGCCCCACGGATACGCAAAACTCGTATAGATTCCAAAAGAACCTTGGAAATAAGGTGCCTGTGCCTGAGTTTTTCAATGATGACAGCGAACGTTATAGTGTTGCGCATGGGCAGCGAGTGGTGGATATGTTTCTCAGAACATCGTAGTTTCCGGAGTTTTACTCCATTGGATGTCATGATTCTGTACGAAAAATGAATTTCTGAAGACACACAAATTTGGGCTGCCTACCCAGGTAAGTAGCTGACTAGGCCAACAAGGAAATAAAGAAGTTTGATAGGAGGAAAATATGTATGGCAAACCAACCTCAAAATATCGAGGTAGCTATACGCCATAGAAGTCCAGGAATACATTTCCTCTTTTACAAAAAAAAAAAAAAAAGGGGGTTGCATTGGCAATAAATCCCGTCCAAAGAAGAAGGGGAAACCCCAAGGGACATGAGCCCAGTTCTTGTCATTCTCCCTTGAAATCGCAGGCTGGGTAGCAGAAGAGATGATTTCAGTGCAAGAAACAATGGCATTCCTGAAGGAAAACACATGGCAAAAAGGGATACGAGAAGATGTGGTCTCCAGCTCACTATCGGCGACCAACGCGCTCAAAGCTCCAGGGGACTCCGTGCCAGAATAAGGGGAGCGCATAAAGTGATCGTCCCTCCTAGTTCTCCAATAAGAGAGTCTGCAAAATGGTAAAAACCAAAAACGAACGAGGAAATCATGCGATCAGCCAATCGAATGCGATGCGGCTCAAATAATCTCCTCAGCCTCGCCACTTTTCCAAGGAGGGAGCGCAAACAAAAAGCCAGACTCATCCCCTTTTCCCAGAGAATTGTTCCAGTACGCACTCCGTCAATTACAGCGCTGACGGAGTATTGCCGACGTACATACATACATCGACTGCGGATGATATTTTTCATCACAAATATTGACACAGAGGGTCGAAACGAGAGATAACGATCTCTCTGCTGCCTCGCAAAGAGGTAATCATCTAGGCTGTTCTATTTAATTTTTTTTTTTTCGCTGATCTGCGATCGTCGGTCAGGGCCCATACAGACCAAGCTCTGTGACAGAACAGCTAGCTACTGCGTATCGCTCAGTGGTTCTAAGACGACAGAGAGTGCTACATAGCTGCCCACGAGGTTGCTGAATTTTTAGTTTAGTTAAACTATAGAAGCTCTTTGCCTGTATCATACCGTCACTAATAGAGATGAATACACGAGCAGTGAAAATCTTGGTCGGGAACAACTTAGACCCGGCTCAAGTACTAATCTTTTTCCTAGCTCGCTTTCATTTCACTTGCAAATGCCACAAGACCGTATTGGATACCATGTCGTAGGAGGAGCAAGCAGGCCGCGAGGTGAAGCTGGCGAGCGCACGAAACATCGAGTGGGGGCCTGCGTTTGTTTGGTTGTGAGAAGGGAAAAGGGAGGTACCTTTAGGTAGATTCCACGAATGTTAATTTTAACAACAGTTGGAGCGAGCGCTTCTTATTCTTCCCGGCGTTAGCAACAAGTTCAAGCCCCGACGTCCGAAGTGTTAGTCACCTTCGTGTTAATGGGTCTCACGGGCTTTGGGAGTTTGAAAGGCAGAGAGGGTGACAGAGTGAAGTTTCAAAATAACCATAAAGATCACTTCGGATCAAAAAGAGTGTATGAAACTGAGGCCAGCGGGCGTTTTGTGAGAAAGCTGTTTCGAACGGTTTACATCCGAAACGGTGATTGAGGCTTGTCCTAGATATTAGTTCGTAATTCGTATATTTCTAAGTTGGGTCTCTCTCAATGTAGCGTAAAACTCATGAGTAGGCAATGATAATCCTCGATTCACCCTCGTAATTCATGAGAGAATAAAATATCCATCCCCTTGTCTTGGGTGAGGCGCATCTATGTAGCGTATATTTTCTGCCCGCGTTTCATGCATTGGGCGTTGAGTTTGACAGGCGACGGACTCGGCCACTTCCAGAGGCTGTACTCCTAGGCTAATTTAGTATATGAAGTGACCTCCAAGACGAACAAGACGAACACAGCAATGCTCATTGTAACTTCTCAAGCTAAGTTAGCCTCCTACGTAGTTGGCTCAAGTTGACGAACTCGATTCGTTTCTCCGACAAAACCAGTCTGCTGCAGGCATATGTGAACAATTTTCTCCTTGCTTCTTTCATGATTTGGAGAATTCCAGGCAAATCAAAATGCCTCGCGTGATCTTCCAAGCGCTGTCATCACGTCAAGGGTACGAGCCAACCACAAGACAGCATTGTTGAAGATTGGCTTTCAATTATTAACGCGAGCAAGGTTTTGGTGTCCGTTTTTTGACTACCATTATCGACTACCCGGAGCGAAGCCCATGCTTTCATCGAGTCCGAGGAGAGCAGTTGAACTCTCAGTCACTGCGGCAGCAGAAACAGCAAGCCTTTTCAGGGGTTAAGGGTTGTCATCGTAATGCAGATATCAACTGGAGAAAGTTCTGTTTCTTCTCCTTTGTTTGTTGGCGGGGAAAATGGAGAGGAAAATGTTTGTTGCTTGTTGAACAGTGATGCAGCATTTGTTGGCCCTAGGCTGCCTATCACGGACTAGCGCCCCACACATATATACATACCTCAGCTGCCTACATGCTAATACAACCACTGAGACGTCCCACCACATTTGCCGCCGTGCATTTCCGGGTTTTGTCATCTGTGCAATCTGTGCTCGCATGTAATAAACAGGGGCCCTCGTTTCAGCCGGTGATGACACGCGGTAAGCAGCCAAGAAGCTCGGTCCAACGTATCGAATTACATCAGCCTTGGATAAAATACAAGGAGCGAAGAGATCGGTAATTTTATTATTATGACATGTCAAGAATCTTGTCAGAGTTTATTTCCTTTCGCTGCTGGAAGAACTAAGTCAGAATGTTCGATAGTAATGGGGCGGCGACTTGCCAGTACCAGGGCCCAAGGTCGTCCGTCTTCCTTCGCGTTCTTCAAGGTTGGCCAACGTGGACCCGACAGAGTCAAAGGGTTTCTCTTCAATGTTAAAAGGACGAAATCCAATCAGGGCATGCGCTAATGGCGTGAGATGGTTGAGATCCAGGCACAACACAGGGGCAAAAGGAAGCCAAACCGTGGAACGTGGCAAGAAAGAAGTTGGTTGCCGAACCCGCAAGCAGTAAGGGAGTAGCATTGTTCCTTGGTTTTCCGCAAGAAATACTTCATCTCAGAGGTTTGCCCGGCTGCGCTTGGGTTGGGCCGCCCTGCTGGTCCCTTGGTCGGCAAAGGATGGGGCCTAAATAATTGGAAAGCTGGTGCTGGTTGGGTGGAGAACAGAGTTTGCTCAGTTAAATTGTGTTGCTAACTTTCGTTGTTGTTAGCGCGTGAAGTTGGGGTGTTGTGGCTGCCGCTGAGGACGATGATAATACACGGATCTTGGTTATTATTTATTCAACATCGTGTCGCCTGGTTATTGTGGTTTTTTCCTCGTTCCCTCCCCTTGCCAACTCTCCCTTTTCAGTCGCTATATACCGCTCTTTTCGCTCTCAGGCATTTCCCAACCACCCACGCTCTTTAAGCCTTCATCCCATTGCGTGTGAGCCGCGCTCTTTACGCTCTCTTTTACCAGCTGTATTTCCCACTCCTGAATCGTTTCGCACCCTCACGTCCCTGCGCACGATCAGGGCCAGAGAATCCCCCCCATTTAGATCCAGCAGCGCCTGAATCCCTCCCATCTCGATTTGCGAATCCAAGCTGCATCAACTGAAGAACTACTCTCCTTTGCCCTCGCAAACCTACGGTCTCTCAGCCGACTCCTATCCATAATACGAAATTATCGTCGCAGGGCGCCTACCGATAACAATCCAGACCAATATTCCCTTCTTGTCCAGTCTGAGTGGTGTCGGTTACATAAACCAACACAAGGACCAACCACCTCCTACATACATATACATAGAATCGCTGCAGAAACGGAGAACCAAAAATGAATATCCTCTCTTTTTTCTCCGCGCTGTTCCTTCTGCTTGCGACTCAGCTCGTAGCTGCTGAAGATAGCATGGTCACCTCCACGAGAACCACCACGACCACCAACACCATCACTGTGACCATCATCCGCTCCGTCGCCAGCTCCTCCACCATCGGGGCCACTACCATAATCCCCACGGCTGCTGCATCTACAACTGCAGACGCCTCTTCGTCTTCTACGCCAAACATTGCCATTGCTGCAACACCAACCGCAATGCCAATGCTAATGGCTGGAGGTCTCGCCGTGATCCTAGGCGCGGCACTCTAAAATCCTTTGAAGAAAAGAAGCTAATCGGAAATGGGTGTGGAGTGGTGAAGGAAGCGGGAGTCGGGGAAGTGAATTGGAGAGAAGGGCTTGCAGAGGAAGCAAAGATAAAACCAACACATGATTGATGGATTGATTGATTATTGACGGATTGATTGACACCTAGGGGGTTTTGGTGGCACTGCTGTTTTCATTAACTTTTGTATACGATTTTTTATTGTTCTCTTCGAAAGATACCCACTTTATTTTACCCATTATTGGTGTAAGGTATATATTGGGCTCATTGGAAACTTATCCGAAAATCCATCCATATACGTATATCCACTAGGGTCCCGCCCTGTGTTTTGTTTTTTTTTTTTTTTTAACATTTCGCCTGGGGGGCTCATTGGCCAAATTCCAGAATTTATTTCCATTGGCACAGTATCCC